CGTTCTAAAGTATTCCAACAAAACAAATGACGTTTTTTAAGAAAAAAAGCGTTCCAAGAAAAGTGGGTGTGTTACGAACCAGAGATGTTGGTGAGTGATTTTGTTTTGACCCGACCCGCAAACCCGACCCGTTGGACGTCAAACCCGACCCGCTTGACGGGTTGAGCAATATTTTTTTCGGCCTACGGGCTACTCCACGGGTTGGCGAAATCTTCAACCCGTCATGGGCTGCCCGCGGGTTAATGCAAATTTAATTGCGACAGTATTTATAAAAAATTCACAAGTTTAGTAAATCGATAAATTCGTTTTTTGTATTCATTTTATTAAAACAAATATACCATTAAAGTATTTTCTTTTATTTCTGAGTACATTCATAAGTATTACAAAATTTGAAGTTCAGCTCAGGGAGATAAAGAGTCCAGGGAAAGTAATAGCATATGCTCATGTTCACAGTGTTAAAAAATTGACAGCTCCTATTATGATGATGATAATAACAGCTGTTCAAAAAAATTGAGAATTAGATAGACTATATATCATTCATTCTCGTTTCGTAAAGTGGTCGAACTAATAACAAGTCTTTCAATAAGCTTGGTTTTGTACGTGATTTGCGAGCACAATAAACAAAAATAACTTTAGGAAACTGCCTTTCGACAGTAACTGAACTCGTTAGAAAAGTTTGACTGAGGTATTGACTACAAACTATAATAAAAACTGATACACGTACGAAAAGACAGATTCCTTTGTTGCGTCACTCAGCTCGAAAAAACCAAAAAGACAAAACGAACGGGAAAAATATTAAGAAAAGATGAAGCGAACAGGGAAAATGTGAAGATGCAAAAAAAACGATCGAAATTAGTACGTTGTGCAAGCAAGTTTCGAAAAAGAAGCGCATTCATGTATATATATGCTTCAAAACAATTAGGTAAACGACTAGAATCAAGATATAGTCAATACAAATGATAGAAAGAATTTTGATGCTAAAGTAAGAATTAGTGGGAAAGACAAAACCAATCATCGGTGAAAGTTAGAAATGAAATGGATGCGTGCATAAATCTATGTAGAAAGAAAAAATTTAAGATGAAAAGCAAAATTCATCAACGGGTTGAATCGGGTTCACATATGAATATAACCCGACCCGAGAAAACCCGTGTAAATCTCGAAAAGACTAACCCGTTAACCCGTGACCCGTCAGAGGTCCAACCCGGCCCGCGGGTTACGGGTCGGGTCACGGGTCGGGCGGGTTGAAGCAAAACGGGCTAACCCGCCAACATCTCTGTTACGAACTGAAGTATTCCCCTTCATTCATAAGACGAAACAAACAGAATAAGATACACTCCTTTCTAGTACAGTGGTTAATACGACTGCCCGGCAAGCAGGAGATGCATGGTTCGATTCCATGTGAGGGGATATTATTCTTTTGTTTCGTTCCGTAATACCATCACATTGCTGTCTCGGTGATATCAAAGTATAATATGAGGATACGAGCAATAAAGAAAAGAAATAAGATATAACAGTGTAGATGTGAGTGTGGGTATAGGTGCGACAGTGGAGAGGAAGAGGAACAACCACCCGCACCCACACCCACCACACCTACACCTACACCCACACCTCCCACACCCACACGCACACCCACACTCGCTGCCATCCACACCCACATCCACACCCTTCCTTGGAATCCTTGCCTTCCTTGGAATCCGTGCTTTCCTTGGAATCCTTGCCTTCCTTGGAATCCTTGCCTTCCTTGGAATCCTTGCCTTCCTTGGAATCCTTGCTTTCCTTGGTATCCTTGCCTTCCTTGGAATCCTTGCCTTCCTTGGGCTTCTTGACTTCCTTGGACTCCTTCGATTACTTGGGACCCTTGAATTCCTTGGAATCCTTGAATTTGTTTACGCCACCTTATGCTGTGGTTTCTTAGTGCCTGTACGTGTTAAATAATTTTTGAACTCAAGAATTCCTCAAGAGTTCGGAATTCACGGAATTCAAACACTACTGCAAATTTAGATGCAGAATTGAATGCTGATTCGGAATCAATTCAATGATTGTCAGAACATACTTTCGTATGATCGATAACAGTGATCCTTCTTGATGGGACACCCAGAATTGACCAATTTTTGATCTTTTCCCGTATTTTTGTCTTTTTACAAGTATACCCGGGCAACTTTGAAGACAGATTCAGATGCAGCATGAAATTCTGAATTGGGTGCATATATTTCGATGTCCTGGACATATTTCGTTCTAGATTCCAACTAGATTTCGCACTCTAAAAAAATGAAGACACTTATATAAGACAGTTCAAGTGTATATTTTGCATTAATTTTGCTTGAGCGTCTAAAATCAGTCATCCGTTGACACGTGGCGCGTCTTACTAAGACACATTATATGTCTATAAAAAAGACGCATCACCTATCTCAATAAGACGCGCCACGTGTCAACGGATGACCGATTTTAGACGCTCAAGCAAATTTAATGCAAATAGACGCTTGAACTGTCTTGTAAGACACATGGCATTTTTTAGAGTGTGTTGGGCTGTCAAGAAAGCCATGTTCCAATTTCCAGCCTCCTTATTAGCGTTCCATGTTTTGGAATTATGTGATTAGTCAATTTTCAACCAATCAGATATTTTCTCGCGTCATGGTAATACGTAGGGTCGTGCTAGCTTCTAATCAATAGAAAAATGTCTATGTAATGAGTTTAGAGTTACGTAGTATTTCAAGTTTGTATGTGACATGATAGCTTCCTGCATTGCTCATTGGTCCAATTCACTAGGTATTTACTTCATTATTGTTATGGGAAATAAATATCAATACATTCAAATTGAAACCAGCTTGAACTGTTACTCTGTTGAAGGATAACTATTAGGATACGTTTTCCTGTCGCATGCGACACTAGAAAGTTATTGTCAGTAAAAACTTCATCATAAGTCTTCGGATCAAAATGTCTTCATGTCTTTCTTTGTAATAAATGCGTCTGTTGGGTTTACCTTTGTGATCCGTTTAAAAAGATAACAAGCGACGAAGTGAAAAAGACGACATTACAGCATATGGTCATTTTCTCAGTATTAAACGAGTATAAGACGATTCAATTTGATTATTTCTTTCACTCAATATTTTCAAAAGCAGCAATGAAAATCATTGAAGTTTTGTTTTTGGCGTTATTTCTGGTCGGTATTGAGAGTGAGCGTAAGTGTATGAAAATAAAATCCACTTTCTAAAGATGACGACATTCCTTTTACATAGGTATATACGGTGGCGCAACAGACATGCATCTGCATCATCAGTCGACCACCGTGATCGTTGTACCCGATGGCTTGGGATACGAACAAGTGCCATCGATATCAGGCGATGGTCGCAGTCTTACCATTCACGTAACTCTCGCGGTTTTAAAAGCGGCCGTCAATGCAACTTGGTCCAAACTACCGGCGGCAATTACCAATGTGTTCAAACTTGAACAAGTGATTGGATTGCTAGATCTGTACTATACAGTTTCAGAAAAAGCCGAAGATCTCATTGAAAAGGTGCTCTACGATATCACTTGTAAAACGCCTATACCCGGTTGCAATCGAGCGTTGGCTAGTCTCAGTGCCAAAGTTATCATGTGGCTCTTGCCCATCTAAACTATTCGTTTGATTGTAAACTGTTAATGAAAATAAAAGAAAGTCGATTTTGAAAAATTCAAAGTCGACTATAGCAACATATGATGCAAAAGTGACGGTACAGAATGTCAGCCACTGTATTTTCTCATAGATGCGGCTGTGAAAACAAATCTTTTTTGTGAAACACGATCTAAAAGAGAGTGTTGAAGTGTATATGAGTAGAAATTTGCACCCACACCCCTCCCCCACAGACCATGACCGACATCTTATTTAATTAATTAATTAGTGCCTAATTAATTATATACCCATCACAGATCGTGATCGACACAGCATCAAAGACCATCACAGACTATGACCGACATCTTAACTAATTAATTAATTACCCATTACAGACCGTCACAGACAGGCTCGTGAAACCATCACAGGGAGTGGGAATCGCGGTCTGGAGATCATCACATCTGTGACAAACGGCTTCAGGGTACCATCAGAGGTCATATATAAGTCAAGCCTAGTTAAAATATCTATGGAGTATTCCTTGCCGAAGGGTGTGGGGTGTGGGGTGTAGAGAGCAGCGGGTCCAGGTTTTTATGGACACGGACCCGGGTGATATCAAATTTCTATACCTGGACTCGGGTGACATTAATTTTCTAGGCCCGGACCAGGACCCGGTCGGATCTAGCCCCGGATCTGGCCGGATCCAGACCCGTTAAGTGTGGGTGTGGGTGTGGATGTGGGTGTCGGTGTGGGTGTATATGTGGGTATGGATGAAGAGAAGGCTCGTATCCATATCCTACTCCCATCCCTTACCCATACCTATACCCACAGTCTCGTGTGAGCGAGACTATGGTTGTGACGGTGAGTCTGCGTGTCGGTGTAGATATCGCTTTGGCTGCACCTGTAAGTGCTGCTAGTCAGTGGAAGTGATGGGTGAGCATAAGAATGTGGGTTTGAGAGTTCTCTTTATCCACCCATCCAGAAAGCCAAATCCACACTCACACCGCATCAACATCCATACCCACACCCTATCACATCAACACTCACAAAACCTTATCGCAGCCCAAAACTACCATCAGACGCACACACACATGCAACCACACCCAAACCCAAACCCATACCCACACCGATACTCGCACCAACTCACACCTACACTCACACCCACCCACACCTCACGCCCACACCCACACCCACATCCTTTTGGCGTTCTTGGAAGCAAAAATTTGAGATTTTTACTGTGTTTCTCTTACGAACCCGATAAACAGATGAATAATGAACATTTATTCAAAATCACACATGGGACAAATCACAATGACAAATAATCAAATTCAGATTTTCAATATCTCACACAAAAACGCATCATAGTGGTGTGACAATAGCAATATGCAGTTTTTCAACAGAAATGAACTTGTTATCATCGTCGAGAAATTCTCATCCACATGCCATATTTCGGTCTTAAGAGACATCATCATACAAGTAACGAGATATTCAAGAATGTGAAATGACTCACCTGATTGTGACAGCAATATCTGGAACATGTTTCTGACCCGGTACAAGCTCGAAATGAAATCGTCGTACAAGCAATGCCAACATTATTTTTGCCTCCAACATAGCAAAATTCTGTCCAATACATGTACGAGGTCCTCCTCCAAACGGCAGTAATATGTCTGAATGGTGCCCGTTGAATCTCAATGGATCGAACTTCTCTGGTTCATGCCAATATTTTTCAGAACTATTCGTTACGCAGGAAACAAAGTAAAGAAAATGAACTACGAACATTAACGATTTTCTTACCGATGAAGAACGTGCAGATTGATGACTACACTTGTTCCTTTTTTAATATGAATACGTTTTCCATCTCGAGCTACAAGAGTGTTGTCTTTAGTCGCGGTACGAACTAATACCGGCACAGGTTGATGATATCGAAGCGTTTCTTTCAACACGGCTTCCATGTAAGTGAGACACGAAACAGTTGATACTGTTATTTCATCATCGTTAGTCAATACTGAATCGATTTCAGCTTGACATTGATGATACACATCAGGATTGTTTACCAAATTGTACAGAGTCCAGGTCATCAAAGTCGATGTCGTCTCATGCCCGGCAAGTACTAGATGATGAAACATGTTTCATATAAATTCTGCATGGCTATACTATACTTTCTTGATATTGAAGACCACCTTATTCTAGAAGATCCTAGTAGTAACTTTCTGTAGAAAACGCAATAAAAGACTCTTCAAATATGAATTTCTTTTCGAAATTAATTAAGTGATAATACAATTTCTCTCAATATCCTTGAACGTGTGTCTGATTTTTCAACAAAACTATTACTTAGAATCGATAAGAAAAGCGATATTTTAGAAGATCCCATTGAAAACATCCAGTGCTTGGACATAATACTTGTTTTCTCCAAAAAAGTGTTTGGTAATTGTTAGTCGGATTCAAAATCACTTACCAAAAGTAATCGCCTCATCGGAAACTTCTTCATCAGTAAAGCTCTGTGTTTTTTCATCGCCACGTGCTGTCAACATTAAATCAAGTAAATCAGGTCCTATAGTTTTAAATACAAGATAGAAAAAGAAAAGAGATTATATTCAAACCTTTACAAGCCGATTTTGTCAAGCCCTTTTTTCGTTGGTTTACGATCTGTTGAACAATATGCTTGATTTCTTCTTTCGCTTGATCAATACGCGGTTTGCCTAGTATCGGTAATTGATTGATGATTGGCAGAATGACGATCATATTGAACATGCGCTTTTCTAATTCTTTCGTTGCTATTGTAACACACTTGGAGATTGTTTCATGCACATGTTGATCGTTTATTAATTCGGTTCCGAATACACATCCAGTTACAATATCCAATGTAAGATTTGTCATCTCTTCGTGAATGTCAAGTGTTATCGATTGATTTTTATCATCAATCGCTGCTGTCCATTTATTGAGAAAATTCGATGTTCTCTCAACCATAAGTGAGATCATGGAATTGATATTTTGTTGTTGGAAGACAGGAGCAACGAGTCGTCGATGACGCGTATGATTGTCACCTTCAGCCAACAAGATATTTTCATAACCGAGTAATGCTGCAAGAATTTCTCGTCCAAGACTAGCCCTATGGTAGGCACGTGCATTTGTCTTCAATACGTCTTCAATCAATGACGGGTCGCTGACATTGAGACAAGGCAACGGGCCGAAGGACGAATAATAGTAGTCTCCGTATTTTGCCGTCATCTCATTAGCATATGAGAGAGGATCATCGGCAAGATAGGCTTGACGATGACCTAATAAATCGCCAAGTATAGGTATGTACTTTCCAGGAACACCTTGATTACGTAAATCTCTTTGAATATACCATGGATAAAATATCCAGAATCTGATGAGACGATAAAGAATAAAGAATACGACTCCTGCGATCAACAAAGTAGACCACATGGCCATTATCATAACACAACAGAACAACACAATATCCACATACTTATATTGACTAAGGAGAAGTAAAGCATTGTCATTATAGTTGTTGCATTTGTATTTGATAGAAAGCAAAATTTACCGTTTTGCATGTGCAAATAATGTGCATGTCTCGTAAGTTGCAAAGACATGTCAATCTGACTCACCATGAATAATCAAGACAGAACTGTGCAAGTACTATTTTTGTGGTACTCATACTCGAGAAAATCCGTACTTACCCAGCTCTGTTTCAAGAGAAAAACAAGTCAGATAGAGCTTATCGAGCTAGTCGGATCCTAGAAGACTACACATTAATTTAAAGATTTCCGAGAGTCAGATGCGTTAAGATTCATACAAATGAATCTGACGAATTCTAACACACGCAGAAACTCAGTCAAATATTTCGCTAAAAGCATGGCTTAAAAATATGCCTTTAATGGTTCTCCTATGATTCTAACATCCAACTTTTCATTTTCCCACCAAAACTTTTGCTCAGACCAAAGATTATATGAAGTCATTCTTGTTCGAATGCATTACTCAAAAGACTTCATTTTTCATGAGAACTTTTCAGCAGATTATTGTAGAGGTTGAGTGTTGAACTAGGCATATACGAAGGACAAGATAAGACGAAGACTCTTGGTCTCGGCTTTTCTGAGATTTCACTCTTCTGTCGGATCTGACTTATGGACAAAGCTTGCATTTTGACGACACAAAATTTCATCGGTTTCGTTCAAAAAGAGCGGGTTTTAAGTAAAAACCAACTACATTCGCCAAATGAGTCGAAAAATGATATAAGTGCATGTACTTCAGAATGCGGATGTGAATGTCTGATTATTCACACCCCCAGAAGTACACGCTCGGTCTAGGCATACAAAAATTCTTCAAAACGAGTGTAAACATACAGGAAAGCAGAAAAATGGGTATTTTTCGCTCACAATCATGGTTTCTAGTTGTGAGAGGAAAACAATTGCTTTTTCTGCTTTCTTGTATGTTTGCATGCGTTGTCAAAAACTTTTGTCTCTCTGGAAGGCGACTTACACCCACAGAATCATGTTCACCCCAGCCACAACCTATCTCTCTACTTTTTAGGCTTTCAAAGAAGCATCAACGATGTTGACACATTTGAGTGTCACATTTAATCTGTCTAAAGATATTTGTTCATAACTAACTTTCCTGATCGATTTTGTCTGAAATTCAAATATAGGGTAACAATCAGGGCTAAAGATTAGTTATAGTGTAGGTGCGCGTTTGGGTATGAGAGTGATGTGCTAAACGACACATACCTTCACACCTACATCCACACTCAATTATACAGGTCTATCATAAAAGGCTTCCTTCCGTACTTTCAGTTCTTTTTAACTTCAAAGCCACTTATCCAAAATAGTTCACTTAAAATTCTGAAACATATATTTTAAAAAATGCAGAGTTTGATGAAAAGCTTTGTAGCATTCCTAAAATTCTCGCGGAATCTTTCGTAAAAAAAACAACTTCGCGTATCTTTTTGGATTTTTTCAACGTCACAGCTGAGCAATTGAATGGATGTTCATATTTTAAAGTCGACACTAATCTAGAAAACTTATTTGAATAGTCAAGCCGATAACTTTGTAGAGTTTCTAATTCTCTATCCTTCGGCACATAAACGAAATGTTCTTCACAATAACAAGTGAGGGAAAGAAATACTGAAATTTAGTGCAATCTCCTCTGAAATATCCATTATATTACAAAACAAAAATTACAAATAAAATTTTTTACTGCATATTTTTCCTGTTATTTATGACTAATATTACAAAATCTCAAAATTATTTTTTCATATTAATTTATGATTATTTAGCAGTTGATTTAATGACTTGAACTAAAATTTAAAATCATCACTTACTTTCATTATCAACATCTCTAATGGTTTTTTGTTTCTTACGATAAATAAGATAAAAGTTTTGCAGGTGTGATTATAGTTGTATTTGTATGATTGTGATTTTTAATACATTGTTTATTTATGGTTTACGATGATTACTATTTGAATTAAATGAAAATTTGATATTTATTTTCTCATAATAAGTTTCTGGTTAATGTACTTATGGCATAACAAAAGTACTGTCGTCATTATCTTATTTTCACATAGAAAGCTGGAAGAGATTTTTTTTAATGTAGTGATAGAAAAGAAGGACGCTCTATTTTTCTGTATTATTCGATCACTATTGAACTAATATCATAATAGTAATAATTATATTGTGATAAGAATGCTATTTAAAACAACAAGATCGAGGAAGTATTTTTCGAACAAATTTTCATAGAAACAAGATAGAGCGCTGTGGTCTTCACCGTTCGAAAGAAGTGATGAAGATGCATCGAATCGTATGCTTCAGAATTTTTCGATCTGATTTTTTTTAAAGGTTTTCACTCGATTTCTTTAAAAATAAATCTACTTCACGAGGTATGTACAATGAATTTTTAATTGTAAGGTGTGCATTCAAACCGACAATGGTAGATGTACAAAACTACATAAGATTGACATGTTTGAAATCAATTTTTCGGGAGTCATATATATCTTAGTTGAAGATGTAAGTGGTTTTTCTAGTAACTTCTGTGAAAAAATGTGTTGTTGTTGTTTGTTTTTTTAATTAAAAGAATAAACATTTTTTTGACACTTAGAAGATTGATGAAACAAATTCCAGACAACATATCTAGAAAACTCATAATATAGAATTCGATGGATTTTCATCTCCTCTTTCGAACGGTGAAAACTACAGCTCTCTATCTTGTTCCTATGAAAAGTTATTTAAAAAATACTCAGCTTTTTTTGAAACAGTTCTTATCCTGATATTATTATTACGATATTAGTTCAATAGTGATCAAATAGCACAGAAAAATAGAGCATTGTTTTCTCTATCACTATATAAAAAAAAAAGAAAATCTCTTCAAGCTTTCTATATGGAAATAAGATAATGGCGACACTATTTTCGGTATGTCCCAAGTAGTTTTAATCTTTTATCCTCCACAGCAGTTCCAGAAGAGTCACTGATAAAATAACTCTACAAGTAGAATATTAGCCTGCCGAATAAGCCAATCATGCGGTCTGATCCATTGCGTATCCATGTCTTCGTTTAGTACCATTTGATTGGTCTAGTAGCCGTATGGTGGAGAAAGAGCATTGAACGACATATTAAGCTGTGAGTTTTTTTTTTCTCTGATCATATTATGGAGTGGACAATGGCAGCATCTATCCAATGACATTAGAATAATGAAAAAAGAAAGAAGTGAACCGATAAAGGTTAATGTCAACACAATATTTGTATTTTTAACACATCTTGTAACATAAGCATCTACTTTGCTTTGAGCCATTTTATAACCTTTGAAACCATTTAGTTTATAATAAATACTATTTCAACTTCTGGTGAGTTGAGGTTTATAAAACATATCAACTTTATTCTTGATTTTTCTTCAGCTGTCCAATCATGACTTTATGGTCAATTATATGCTTTGGTATGTGTAATTCGCCAAGTTATCATGCAGCATTCGAAACATATTCAACTCATTAGCGGATTTCTTCATTGATTTGTATCGCACGGAAATTCCAAAAGATTTCTATTGACCGTAGATAGAGAACAAATGGTTTTGAAAAATTCAAATTTTTTTATTTTCTCAAAATTATCGATTTTGTACAGCCGTCATTTCAACGATGGAATGGCGAAAAAAAAACTATTTTTATCATGTTCAAGTCCCATTTTTCTTTTATTTTCTTTTTGCAATCGTTCTACAAACAGACACTCCTAGTGGCCAACTGGGATAAAGAGTTAAGCAAAGTTATCTTTATGACAATCGATAAATTCAGAATTATAACGTTCTCAATTAAGATTAGTAGTCCCATGAGCAGTGGAAATTGACATATAGATAAATAAAATATTTTCTTGCAAAACAATTAAAAATCAATTCAATAAATTTTTCTGTCAGACTAAATCATGGAAATTCAAAAAGAAAAGAAAAAATATCAGTGAAATTAAAGAAAAATGTTCAATATCTTGGAGAAAGATAATGTTTCTCCTAGTATTTCCTTGAAAGACATTATTAATGACAGTTCATCTATTGTTTTTTTTCTGATATAATGAATTTTCTTTGTTGTATCTCAGCGGATTATTTTTTTTACACATGAATTCATCCTTAAGTGAAAAATTCAAGTAAATAGATCGTTTTTCTTTCCTTTGAACACAATTTTTAATCCATTAATAAAACCATCTATTTTCTTTATATCAATTAAGTATTCATGTATTAAGATTCTTTTATCTCGTTTTATTTCAATGAATAGTAAACCTTGGTAATCTATGCATAAGGAAGCTAGAATTGATTAGGTTTCTGATGAAATTGTTGACTCTAGAATAAATATTATTTTTTATGAGCCTCCTATTATATTGTTATTTTCAGATAAAATTAAATATTTATTGATTAAATATTTTCTTTGCTGTATTATTAAAACAGTTAGTGATTTCATATTTCACATTTTATTCTCGGTAAGATTCTGTTAACAGCTTTTTTTTCTTATG